TCCCCTTCTGGGCCTCACCCTGACGCTCTTGCCTCGCTTTTTTCCCTCATTTCTCTTCACTTTTCCCTCATTTTCCTCATTTTTACCTCATTTTCCCTCATTTCACCTCACGTTCTCCCTCACTTTTCCCATTTTTCCCTCATTTTCCCCATTTTTCCCTCATTTCACCTCACATTTCCCCTCATTTTCCCCTCATTTCACCTCATATTTTCCCCATTTCTCCTCACTTTCCCCTCATTTTCCCCCCATTTTTCCCTCATTTTCCTGATTTTCCCCTCACTTCACCTCATATTTCTTTCACTTTTCTCTCATTTCACCTCATATTTCCCCTCATTTCCCCCATTTTCCCCTCATATTTCCCTCATTTCACCTCATATTTCCCCATTTTCCCCTCATATTTCCCTCATTTCGCCTCACATTTCCCCTCATTTTCCCCATTTTCCCCTCATATTTCCCTCATTTCCCCTCATTTCCCCCATTTTTCCCCATTTCCCCGCTCCCCCCCCCAGCCAAGGCCTCCCGCCTCTCGCTGCCGCTGCCGCCGCTGGCCCTGCGGCCTCTCCCGCTGCGCTGGGGCGCGCCCGAAACCTCTCGGGGGGACCCGGACGAGGACGACGAGGACGAGGAGGACGAGGAAGAAGCGGCGGGACCCGAGGAGGCCTCGGCGGGCCCCGTCCCGCTCGTGGTTTCGCGCTGGGACGGCCGCGGCCTCCGCGGCCTCCTGAAACCTCCGCGCCGCCCGCCGGAAGTGGGACTGAGCTCCAACCGGAAGCGAAAAGCGGTATCCTTCTTCGATGACGTAACGGTGCACCTATTCGATCAGGTGATTGGTCCGGCGGTTTGATTGACGGCTCCGCTGACCAATCAGAAGCTGAGAGCCGCCATTTTGTTGCAGGAGACGCCGACCAACGAGTTGAGCGGGCAGAGCGGCCCCGAGGAGCCCGCGGCGATGGCGCCCCCCGATGGCTTGGGTGGGTTTGGCGGGAATTTGGGAAAATTTGGGGAAAAACTTGAGGAGAAATTTGGGATTTGAGGGAAAACTTGAGGAGAAATTTGGGATTTTATGGAAACTTGAGGAGAAATTTGGGGATCTGAGGGTTTTTTTGGGCATCCTGGTGTGGCAAAGTTGGGAATTTTGGGGAGGGCCTGGGGGGTAAATTTGGGGATTTGGGGGAAAACTTGTGGAGAAATTTGGGATTTAAAAGAATTTTGAGGAGAAATTTGGGATTTGAGGGAAAACTTGAGGAGAAATTTAGAATTTTATGGAAATTTGAGGAGAAATTTGGGGATTTGAGGAGAAATTTGGGGGAAAGCTTGAGGAGAAATTTGGGAATTTGGGGGGTTCTGGGATTTGGGAAGATTTTGGGGTGAATTTAAAGGGAATTTGGAGGGAAATCCAAGGAAAAATTGGAAACTTGGGGGGAGAAATTTGGGAATTTTTTGGGGAGGGAATTTCGGGATCCTGAGGGGAAAATTTGGGGGATTTGGGGAAGAAAAACTTGAGGAAAAATTCAGGAATTTTTTTTGGGGATTTTCCTTCCGCAGCCGCCGTCGAGAACTGACCCCGGGGGGAGGGGGAGGGGCGGGGCCGAAGCCCCTCCCCCTTTCCCTTGGCCCCGCCCCCTTTCCCTGGCCCCGCCCCCACTTTGGGGGTGGGGGAGGGGCGGAATTTGGGGGGGGAGGGGCAATAAAGAATTCCAGGGTTCCTGGATTTTACTGGGAATGGGCGGAGTCAGAGTGGTTTGTACTGGTTTGGACTGGTTTCGACCTGTTTGGACTGGTCTGGACTGGTTTGGACCGGTTTGGACTGGTCTGGAGTGGTTTGGACCAGTTTGGACCTGTCTGGACCAGTTTGGACTGGTTTGGACCGTTTTGGACCAGATTGGACTGGTCTGGACCGGTTTGGAGTAGTTTGGACTGGTTTGGACCGGTTTGGACTGGTTTGGACCGGTTTGGACTGGTCTGGACTGGTTTGGACTGGTTTGGACTGGTTTGGACCGGTTTGGACTGGTCTGGACCGGTCCGGACTGGTTTGGACCGGTTTGGACTGGTTTAGACTGGTTTGGACTGGTTTATACTGGTTTGGACCAGTCCGGACTGGTTTGGACCGGTTTGGACTGGTTTCGACCGGTCTGGACTGGTTTGGACCGGTTTGCACTGGTTTAGACTGGTTTGGACCGGTTTGGACTGGTCTGGACTGGTTTGGACTGGTTTATACTGGTTTGGACCAGTCCGGACTGGTTTGGACTGGTTTATACTGGTTTGGACCAGTCGGGACCGGTTTGGACCGGATTGGACTGGTTTCGACCGGTCTGAACTGGTTTGGACCGGTTTTTGGGGGAAATTTTGGATTTTTTGGGTGGGGAAATTTGGGGGTTTTTGGGATTAAATTTGGGATTTTTGGGGGGGAAATTTTGGGATTTTTTTGGGGAAAATTTGGGATTTTTTTATGAAGAAATTTGGGGATTTTGGGGATTAAATCTGGGATTTTTTGGGGATGAATTTGGGATTTTTTGGGGGGTGAATTTGGGACTTTTTTGGGATTAAATTTGGCATTTTTTTGGGGCTGAAATTGGGATTTTTTAGCACAAAATTTTTCATCTCCTCCCCCTCCCCCCTTTTATTTTTCCCTTTTTTTTTTTTTGTGGGGGGGGGGGAGGGGTCC